CTTTATGGAACCATTTAGACAAAAAGGTTCTTCTATGGCATCGTGAAGCACCTTTATTTTTAAGAGTGTACAATGATGCTATAAACTCCTTCAGAAGTCTTTTATAGTTGCTGCCAGACAGTTGTTAGAAGATTTCATGTTTGCTCTATCGAGAAGATTGAGGAAGTCACGCTTTGTGAAATCATGCTACCATCATGTCATTTGTTTTTCTCACTTTTTTTTCTATTTTAATTTTTCACTTTACCACTGTGATGCCACAGGGCTCATGACACTGTTCAAAACATCATGTGACTTAGAAGGGTATAATGGAAGCGTTGGCATTCAAACAAACAAACCCAAACAGATGTACACCTCAGTTCAACCTTACTGTAGAGCAAAGAGTTAGAAAAACAAAAAGAGTGGGTGACTAAAACTAACCAAGCATGGCAGCTACAGACAAGCAGCTGGCTAACAACCTGAAATCTTTCTTTCGTCACTGCATATGTCAAATAATAGTACTAAAATGCAATTTTGGGTTTCTGCAAAGTGCATGAGTGAATTAATAAACCCTCCAACTTAAACAACAGTCATGAGGGGGTGTGTGATTATAAGTGCTTTGTTCCTCTATAGCCTTGTGGTCTTAGCATGTCGTGCAAATATTCACCGCAGTATGTTCTCAGTACAAGGTAGTAAATGACAAATATTTGTCCTCATCTCACGGTGCCACAACCGTTACTAGGTGATGCAGTTTTGTCATGCAAACTGGTGTACCAGGAGGGACACCACCTAAATCAAACTGATTTTCACATCAGTTTGCACTGATTTAAAGCAAGACGTGGATTGCATCAGCTTCTATTTACACTTAAACAATGCCTGCATCAGTGATTGATCACTTTCAGGTTAGTGAAATAACCTACAGATAAGGAATCTGTAAAAGTTAGCTCTTTTTAGAAGTGTTTAACACTGAAAGGAAGCAGTCTAAAATGAATCACATGCTACCTCCTCAACAGTTTTTCGAGTTTAACCAATCAGGGCTCAAACCACAGTTTGAGGAAGGCCTAAAAACTCAGATAAAGAGATATGTGTGCATGCATGTGTTTCATTTGACCTGGTCACTGAAAACTAAAAAAAAAGAGGAACATTTGGTGGTTGACTTGCGTAAAGGACACCTAGATGCCACTGGGTTTAATTATTGACGTCAACACCCTTCACCTCTTGTGGCATACACCTTGTTTCCATTTTTCCAAACTTTACCTATTCATGCGAATCAATACACCCTACAAATTATCGCACAAAAGGGCAGTTTTTACCAACACCAGTCTTATCACTACAAATCATGACTGGAAATGAGCGATAAGACGAATTTAGCAATCAGTATTGCATTCTGAATGGCAGCAACAGATCCAAGATAACCTAAAGCTTCTTGAAAATGTCTTGAGCCTGACCTTTACAACAGCACAACCTCAAACTATCTTGTGTATCTATGCTAAGCTTGACAGTTGTTTATTGCAAATTGCCGTCTTCTATATTTCATATTTAATTATTCCAAGGGGGAGTGTGCTGTACTTTGTCTGACGTGATAAAGAGGAAATGTGTCCTTTAACACAGGATATGGCATAATAGTGCACATAAAAATAAGTGAAGTATGTGTCTGGTGAGACAATATTAATGATAAACAGGATGTCTGGGACACGAAGATTCACACTTGAGCAAGGAACCAAACACGCAATGACAACGTGTAAAACAAATTCTGCTTTAAAGATATCATCTACTCGTGTTGTTTGTGATGTGTGTAAATGTAAATTACAATTAGTGAATGTTAGTCACGCTAAAACTTCAAGCGTTATTCATCCAGGGTCAAAAGTTTGCATGTATCATCTTTGTTGCGGAAAAATATCGTCAAAAATTTGCTGTGCATGTCATTGCTCAATTTCGTCGGTTAACGTATGGTCAGAGTTTTACTTGTGCTACAAGAACTGGATCATGTCATGTCACTGCCAGTGTGACTGACCACAGTGACAAACAAACCTTAGAAAAGGGAAGATAAGGATAGTTACAGGTACTTCCTTGTTTTTGTTGTTGTTTTGTATTTCTTAAATAAGAGAGATGAAAACAAGAGTTCAGTATAGGCAAACTAAAAACCTAATAAAATTAAAATGAATTCAGATGTAATTTTAAATGAATTTAGATGTATAACATCAGAAATGAGTGAAGACAGTATACATAAGGCATGCATAAGACATTCACTCTGCATACACAATCTCTCACCTCAGAAAATGTGGTTAAGGTGCTGGTGGAGGAGCTACTTAACTTCTTCCTTTTCTTTCTTTTTTTGAGTAGCACGAAGCACATTTTAGTCCTGTGCGTACAATTATGTATCACCACAGATAAAGCTGCATGATGGTGTAATGATATTGAGGAGTGTTTTCACACAGGTGTGTGAACAACACTCTTAAAAATAAAGGTGCTTCAAAAGGTTCTTCAAGCGATGCCATAGAAGAACCATTTTTGGTTCCACAAAGAACCATTCAGTCAAAGGTTCTTTAAAGAACCATCTCTTTCTTACCTTTTTATAATCTGAAGAACCTTTTTTAGCCCCAAAGAACCTTTTGTGAAACAGAAAGGTTCTTCAGATGTTTAAGGTTCTTTATGGAACCATTTAGACAAAAAGGTTCTTCTATGGCATCGTGAAGCACCTTTATTTTTAAGAGTGAAGTGCATCACATCTAAAACTCAGTAATTATGATTTTGAGGCACAAACATAAATTAAAACCAATATAGTTTCCTCTTTTATGTTGTGCTATGAATAAAAAGGGCTCGTAAACAAACATTTCTGCTGTTGTGTTTAGAGGTGGGCCTATGATGGAGAGGGAAAAAAGTGTTAAAAGAGTTCACGCTCTTGTGCGTGCGTCACTGTGGTTAAACCTCAAGACCTTAAAAGCTTCTGCAAAACAGATATTTTCCAGACGGCGCCAAAACAACGTGAAAGTGATCTTAGCGATCAGGAAGACAGCACACAGCAGCTCATCTGTATTACTAGTCCCAATTTTTCTCAAGAAACGTAGAGTAAGTACTGGCTTTAAGTAACATTACAGGAACATTAACTATAACATTAACTATAACATTAACTATAACGATAATGATAATGAATTGAGAATTGATAGTGTTTAATTTCATTTAAACAGAACAAATTCAAAAGTCTGATTATTGATATGCACTGTTTTTGGTTGTGGATATTTGGGAATATAATATTTAGTGTATTCTGCCATGAAAAAAGTGAATCTTTGATAATATGAGTATTTTTAATATTTCTTTCTTTCTTTTTTTACTTATTTAAGAACAGAAAAGATCAACAATGAACATAACTGAGTCTGCGACCCTGTTGACTTCAGAATATGTAAGTGATATCTGAATATTTACATTAAGTGCATGCTGTCTCATTATAATGTGTGTATGCATCTTTAACATCAACATGATTGCAGTTTAAATGCACAGTATCAGGGTTAATAAGATAACAGCTCAGTAAGACATGCTTTGCTAAATTTAACAGGATTATGAAGATTCTTCCACAACTATGGGTGATTATGAAGGCGGGGAAATATGTGACAGAGCAGCAGTGCGAGAGTTTCGAAGGTACTATGAGCCTGCTTTCTATTGTATAATTGTGATTCTGGGAGCCATTGGCAACACTCTGGTGGTCTGGATATACACACACTTCAAAAACCGCCTGAAGGCGATGACGGACGTTTATCTACTGAACCTGGCTTTGGCCGATTTGTTCTTCCTCTGCACTCTGCCATTCTGGGCTGCCGACTCCATCTATGGTTGGACCTTTGGCTCGGGCCTCTGCAAAATCGTCTCTGCCACTTACAAGATCAACTTCTTCAGCAGCATGTTTCTACTTACCTGCATCAGCGTCGACCGCTACATAGTGATTGTCCAGACAACCAAAGCGCAGAACTCCAAGAGGGATCGTCTCCTGTACAGCAAACTCATCTGTGTGTTAGTCTGGCTCCTGGCAGCCGTGATGTCCATCCCAGAGTTTCTCTTCGCTCGTTCAAAAGAGGACGATCAGGGCAATCACTTTTGTATGATGGTCTACTGGAACAATGAAAACAATCATACAAAAATACTGGTCCTGGCTCTCCAGATCTGCATGGGCTTCTGCATCCCTCTCATAGTGATGATCTTCTGCTATACCAACATCATCCGCACTTTGCTGAAGACGAGGAACTTCGAGAAGCACAAGGCCCTGCGGGTCATCCTGGCAGTTGTGGCCGTGTTTGTTGTCTCTCAGCTTCCGTACAACAGCATGTTGGTCTTCGAAGCCACTCAGGCAGCCAATACAACTGTCACAAACTGCAAAGAGGTCCAGCGCTTTGACATTGCCGGCCAGGTTATGAAGAGTCTCGCTTACATGCACAGCTGCCTAAATCCGTTCCTTTATGCCTTCGTCGGAGTGCGTTTCCGAAAAGATATCTTTCGACTTTTCCAAAAGCTTGGCTGTATTCCAACCCTCAAGAGCTCCAACTTGCTGCAGGGAAGCTCTCACCGCCCCTCTGTTATGTCGGACACAGAAACCACCAATGCGCTCTCATTGTGAGTCAGCTCTCAACACTGTCAGTGAGGCTTGCTTAGCAAAGGATTCTGTTTTGCTGCAGGTGCTTAGCATCTGGGTTTCAAAGCAGAAGTTTGAGGTTCCATAGGAGGACTTTGCCTGCTTGGAAACATGCTGTCTGGTGGAGGGTGAAGTAACCTGCTCACCACAATGAGATGGCTGCAGCCTTGAATATTGCATAACAAGAGTTCTCTTTGTTTGACTGGGCCATTCAAATGAATGTCAAATCCTGTTCAAATAATTGTGAACTGTATGAACAGTGTTGTGGCAGGGAGAGTGCATGGTTACTGTTTTGCCCATTTAACTGTTACAACATTTTCCATCTCTTGTTCAGCATTAATATTTTCAGTTCATATAAATGTTGTATGAGTACTGAATTTCTTCTAAAAGTGTTTTTCTTCCAAAAAAAAAAACAATTATGAAAGTTTATAATTGTTATTGTATGAAGATATTTTTTGTCTTTTCGTTGCTGCAAAAGTATAGCTGTGAATACTTTATTCATGATTTAAAGCCAGTTGTGTACATTCAGGGTATTTGTGTCTGTTTTGTTTTTGATTCACACCAAAAAAAAAAAAAAAAATGTATATAAGTATTTGCTGCTCATTTTGTAAAACTTCAAACAGTATATTAAATACAAAATGCCAATAAAACCTGATTTACAGGCTTCCTAATGGTTCTTTCATAATGCATCAACACATTTTCTCCATTATGCATTGTTATCATTAGGTACAGCATCAGAAAAGCTGTAACGTTTGCACACAGAACAGTTTGTCACTGGGGCAGTATACCCACAAAATGAATCTTTGTCCTTATCTACCCCTAAATGGTGTCTTAGGGGTACTAATACACTTACTTTAAGGCTAAATAAGTCACTAAATAACATGTGCCTTTGAGAATTATTTTCCAGTAGCAAGATTTCATTTCACACTTTCTTTCTCACCATGTCTCCAAACATATTTCTATTAATATAAAGGTGTGAAAAACTAACAACTTTTAATGTGATGCTTGTAGACATTTTTGCAAGCATTAAACATGTTTTTTTTTTTTTAAGTTAAATCTGGCAGACGGCCACAAGTGCGTACTGTGGCTAGAACCGTTGACTATGACGTACACTATCTGTCTGGTTTACTTGCTGTGGGTCTTGTGGGGAGACACATATAGACTCACTAGAAAACAGACACGTGCTTGCACACACACACCATACACTCAAAAGTACCTTGAATTCAATGGACATACAGGATGTGGCACTGAAAATCACATAAATTTCCACATTATATCAGTTTATTAGAATGCAAATTGATGATGTGTTGTTTTATACATCTTATCTACTGATTTAAACAAACACTGCTGAATAAAATGTAGTCCATGTCTTTTTGTTTAAATTATGGTTTATTTTTATTATTTATTTATTTTTTAATGATTTAAAATGTAAAAGGAATTGCAGTTTCTTTGCTTTTGAATACATTTGTGCAGTGCAGACAGGGTCAAATAACCACAAAGCACAAACACACCTTAAATCTGTCTACATGCTCTACTCACGACAGGAAGTGGCAGACAAGCCAACGTATGTTCTTTCCAGTCTGTGCAGGTACATGTGACTGAGGCTGGCTTGTCAACCACCGATAAATCGGAGGTTAAACATATCCGTAAAGTAAAATAAAAAAATGTAATAAATAAAATTAAAACGTATTATAAAGTAGAAACACCACATGCAGGCTGTGACGTATCAAATCTAAAAACTTATTTTGGTTTTAAAACCCTTGTTTTGTCTATAAGACTCCCCCTAGTGACATTTTTGCAAGCATTAAACATGTTTAAAATGTTAAACATGTTTTTTTTTTTAAGTTAAAAAAGTGTAATAGGCCTATACTGAGTCGTCTTTCAGTGTTTAGAATTACCCAAGCACACAGATGATACATACAGCTAACACTATACACGTGGAGTAAAAGCCACAAAAACTGATTCAATGCATTTTTTTGTTTTTAAACAAACCTCATTTTCCCCCATACCATTCAATCACAGTTGCTGCTGGATGTAACCTACATAGCAGCTCCACAGATGACTGCTCAGTAGGGATGGGCGTATCGATCGATCCGAAGTATCGATATATCGATACTGACGCGAGTATCGAAAGTATCGATACTCAAACAAAAAATATCGATACTAAGGTGCGTTTTATTTACCAGTGGTTTTGTTTATTTAACAAAAATGATAATAATAATAATAATAATGCGTACAATATGCACTGAATTGGACGAATAACCTTTGTTAGCGTATAATTGTGTAGGATAGAACTATTTTCCTGCTCATCTGAACACACGAAAATGTTGCAAGACAGAACCAATCAATCACAGAGAGCGTTCACTCACTGCTGACAGTGCATTCAAACAGGGCTGCGTTTCCCAAAAGTATCATAAGAAAGCATTAAAGCTTTTGGGAATGGCAGCCCTGAACAATGCTTATCAGTGAACAGAAATTTCACAATAAACAAATTGAAATTGTAGCCTACATAGTTTGTGCAATTACAGTTATTTAAATTGAACGTTGAAAGATAATATTGATCATGTTCTATTCTGTAATGTTAATAGAAATCATACACGGTCAGAATAAAAAGGTTTCATTTTATGCATGCAACAGCCATTCACTGGCAGTCCCTAATGGCAGTACAAAATATTGCACTAAATCAAAAGTTAAAATGTTACAAATAAGTTAGAATATTAATGTTGTAATACTGGTAGCACTAATATAAAAATGTGATGATATATGTTA